GGCGCAGGAGAGGTGCTTGGTCTAACTGGCAGAAGCATAACAGACACGCTCCAATGGGGTCCATGCAGGAACTAGCAAAGTGTGTTTCTAAGGAATTGCAAGATGTCCACTTGCAGATGATGCAAAGTGGAAACATACAAGTACAGGGATAACATGCAAACTCCACGCAGGAAAGGCTTGCATCAAAACTTCAGCCCAGAACCTCCAAAGTGTGAGGCAGTTGTTCCGACCAGTGGTTCACCATGCTGCCCCACAGGCCAATTACTGGGATTAAAAATAAATAAAATTAGCCACTCACACGCACTATTTTTTGGTTAGCTATGTGCGGCAGAAGCCTCTGCTGTCTTGGGATAAACTGTGTCCACCCACTATTCGTGGGTGATAAGGACTGACCATCCCTAAAAAAAGGATTAAGGATGTCGGATGTCTTGAAGAAGCCACACGTGATAACAAAGTACTTATTTTGTCTAAACTCTTAGACTCATTTCATCACCGTTCCTTGGCACCTATTTTCCACAAGATGATGACAAAGCACTGATTTTGCCCAAGTTAAGCGCCTCAAATTTCTCCAATGTAGTTCTTTGCACCAAACAAATACTTTTGTTTGCTGAATTTGTGAGTCTCTCAGCCAAGAATGGAGGGTAGCTTCCAAAGAAAAATCTCCAAATAAATGTAGACACAAAATCGTAATTAGACATACAGTACAACTCATGCCTGAGTCAAACTAAACCACCTGGAAAGGCACCAAGGGCGACAGGGATCAGGTCAGCAAGGGAAGGCAAAGCCCAGGGAGAAAGAAGTCAAGACAAGTCTTTGAATCCGGCGGAATTCCTCTCCTCCTCCGCGACTCCTCTGGGGAAGCGTCGGGAGCGAGCCGAAAGGAAGACGGGGGCCTGTCAGGAACAAAGCTCCAAATTCACATGATATGTTTAGCTAAAAGGCTGAAAGGAGAAATGAATCAAAGCGTAGCGGGATCAAAGCCAGCCAACAATAAAGTCAAGGCGGTTGCCATGGGAGCAGCAGGGGATGCATATCATTTATATGTCAGATGCTAGTAGCAGCGCTAGTTTGATTGTTGTCGCAAGCCGCAGCCAGGCGCGGGTTAAGAGGAAAGGTCAGCGTCGCGCTGCGAGAGGAGCGTCGCCGCCATGTTTGCAACAGCCGTCGCGTCTGATGTGACGTCTCGGAGTTGAGACGAACACACGACGAGACGCTACACATGTGTCAACCCCTTAAATATCTTAGCGACGCAAACTGTCGCCGGGCTAAACATTTGTTTTGCATTTCGCAAAAGGGGAAAAGTCATAATTACTTTTGGAGTGTGATATCAAACGGCTAACGTTTATTTCCGTTTCATATGGCGACGCCATCGACACGGAGGATGGCGACGCACATACAAAAATTAGCTATGTGCACTTTCATAAATCTGTCACATGCACACGTCGTTTCGCGCACGCTCGCACACATTGAGATCTATATGCCAATGCTTGTCAATCTTTATTGAACCAAGGTACATCTTTTACATTTGAAAAATTCTCACGCCCTGCCACCAAACACAAAGTTTGCAAAACAGTGGATACAAAAGTTATTTATGTGTCTGCTTCTATCAACTCGGAGATCTTTTCATTGTTCTGCCTGTCACTAAAGGTCGCTGGCAGACAGCGATGAACAAAGATTTGGAGTATATGAATGTTTCTCAGACCAGTTAATTTAAACTGGATAATTTCCCGCACCTCACCTGATGATCTCAGAGTTTAAAAAAAAAAAGGCAGTTTAGATGGATCTTTTTACACATCCATTTCTATCTATGGGAGCATTTGGGGGTTGGGGTGTTGGTGAGACCTCACATTTGCGCGATGGATATGCTTTGAAAAAAAGCATATATTTTTGATTTGTAGGTACCGGTACTTGATTTAAATATACAAACACTGCATAGAGAATGTTGATTTGTATACATGCCAATGCACAGCTTTGTGCATACGCATGTTAACATTAATGGGCCTTTGTAGATTGTTTTTTTTTCAAATTTGCAAATCTGTGTGTTTTGTCTTTGTACAAATATATTCGATATTTGCAGAGCGTTGTGCTCATTTAGAAATTGCTTTTATGAAACTGAGCAAACTTACAAATGTTCAGTCTCATCTCCACACCATTGGACACATTTACAAATGTAAAGTAAGTGTGGTTGATATTCGTATAATTTACAAATGGAACACGTTCATAGAACTATGATTTTCAAACTTTGAAAATATTCCAAATGTCATTTGTCACCATGTCGTTATCGAGTACACCTTGACATAAATGTACACATTTATTTGTTCATGTCTATTTCAATTTATAGATCTATATGCACATTGTCACATCCATAATTAATCAAAATTTGCAAATACAAGTAAAATATATATAGACAAAAGAAATCCAGCCACAATTGGACATGCTACTTTGTGTCCTAACCCCTGACAATAAAATGCTTCATCAATCCCCAAATCCAGTTGACTGACATGACAGCAAGCGTGGTTTTGTACATGGAGAGGTTCAAGTTAGCATGTGCACGTGGATGTGTGGGAGTGTGCTGAATTGTCTTGTCGACTGCTCTTTTACGCTGCACCCAGGAGAAATCCCAAAAATAACAACAAAGAATCGTTGGCAGGTCGGATCAAAGTCCCGTCTGCAACCACTTGACGCCTCCTACGTCACACAACTGGAGGAGCAGCTCTGTCCCATCTATGACCGCCGCAATCTATACTCGCAGGGCTTAATATCCAATGCATTGTTTATCTCTTTGCTTTGCATACAGACTTGAAACAAAGGACAAACCCATCCTCACTCATCCTAAAACAATAGAGGAAAAGAAGAAATATAGCAACCCGCTCATTCTCATTAGAGCCCTTCCATGTACGCAAGCTAATGTCAAGCCAAGCAAACAGCGAAGAGCAGAGAAGGGCTGCATTGTTATTTCTGAGCGCTCCATGCCTTGAGGTTATTTTTCCCCCCCTCTTTGTCTTGAAACAAATCAATGTAGCACAACTCGCTTTGAACAATTTACACATTTGCTGATATGAGATGTGGGCCAAACACTTGGAAAAACAACCATTTTGAAACAGGTGTCAAAAAAAAAAAAAAAAAAAAGAAAAAAAAAGAAAAACGTTATATTGTACACACCATTTTTGGAGTGTGTGGCTGCAGCCAAGGTCACATTTGTTACCGGGACTGAATTAGTTCCAGAATTGGCCTTGAATTTGTTTGTCATGACCTGTAGCCACTTGGATGATTTTGGTTAACCAATGTTGCCTCCTAGTGGACACATCTACATTGCAGAATTGGAGGATATTTTATGTCCCACCCATCAAATTTTAAATAATGCACAAAGAAAATACTTAAACATGCAGATTCTAAGTAAATTTGATTGTCCTGAAATCAAATCCCCCTCCCAAAAAAATTAAGAGAAAATAATGCTTGAATATAGTTTTGACAATACAGTACCAAATAACTCCAGAAAAAAAGTACCCCCTAAAATCTCTAGTGCAATCAACTCATAACCAAATTGAATCTCAAAACAGATAAAATGACATTTTTACGTTATTTGTTTCATTGCTATGAATATAATATTTTAAATAATAATTACTATGGCGGGCGGCACGGTAGTCGACTGGTTGGCACGTCGGCTTCACAGTGCAGAGGTGTAGGATTCGATTCTGGCGCCGGCCTTTCTGTGTGAAGTTTGCATGTTCTGCCTGTGCCTGCGTGGGTTTTCTCCGGGTACTCCAGTTTCCTCCCACATTCCAAAAACATGCATGGCAGGCTGATTGAACACTCTAAATTGTCCCTAGGTGCAAGTGTGAGTGCGGCTGGTTGTTCGTCTATGTGTGCCCTGCGATTGGCTGGCAACCAATTGAGGGTGTACGCCGTCTAATGCCCGATGACTGCTCCGGCACGCCAACGACCCTTGTGAGGATAAACGGATTAGAAAATTGATTTATTTACGGTTTAAACGGTTCATGGTAAAAGGGTGCTAGAGCCTATCCCTGATCAATCACAGCTGACAAACAACAGATAAAGAAGTCAAACTCACATTAAGGACAACCGTCTTCAAATTGTTTAACATGATTTTGGATTATGGAGGGAAGATGGAGTGCCGCAAACACAGTTAAACACAAGAAGGCCGGCCGATTCGAATCCACCAATTTGAGAAACGGCAGGCTAGAATTAGTGTGTTAACCACTAGTCACTATGCTGCTGTAACTGGGACAGTAAACTATATACTGTACTGTAATTCTGTTACCCAATAGTGTCCCCTGCTGGTCACTCACGTGAAATTTCATTTCATATGCAGCGACTAAAATGTTGGCCAATGTTGCCCCCTATGGTTCAGACGAGGAATCACATTTACTGAAGCACGCCCAACAATTGTCTCACTTCTCTCAAACGTACGTTTGGAACCGCAAGTATTATAACAGCTTTTGTTGAGTGTTACTTAAGTACAGCGTGGATGTTTTTACTGGCCGTCGCTCAAGCGGCAAACACAAACACTCAAAACAGTCAGGTCGGGGAACATCTGGGAGCGTTTTTGGTACAATTGCAATGGACCAACGGCAAAAGGCCTCAAGTGAGTGGCTGTGATATCAAAGCACTAAACAGAGGAATGGTGATGACTTGCAGGTGCCGCTTGTCAGTCACTTGGACAAAACAACCGAGGCCTTATCCAACAGAGTGACACATACAGTATGGCCCACATTGAACGTCGCCGGATCACTTCGCACAAGATTACTGCGGATGTTTGAGCTATTTATCTAAATAACTCCAGGCCTTTTTGTGTTAACTGTAATTGACTTGAATGGTTTTCATTAGGGAGCCTTGGATGTACTTTACATTACATGCTTGTACACAAATATGGAGACCTTCAAGGTTGAGTAAGGGTGACAACTGGCCGGTTCTCCTGCCACGGAAGCATAACATCAGTGTTTTAAATTGTATAGTGTAATGATTCATAAACCACTTACAGTTGTGCAGCTGGCGTGGGTTCGATTCTTTCACAGCGCCTTGTTTAGTGATCATTTGTGAGTGGCTGTCACCAATCCAGGGTGGAGTCAGCAACTGTCACGAAAACAGCCAAAATTAACATGAGCATGAAAAAGGAAGACCGGGTCAAACTGTGGCCATCACAAAGCATGCACAGTGTTCTGGCAAAGTATTCATGACCCTTGAACTTTTTCACTTTTGCCATTTCCAAACAACCTATTTCTTTTCCGGATTTTTAGTTGGTCTCTAACAGCTTTGCACATCTAGCCACTGAAAAATTTTGTCCATCTTTTGCAAAATAGCTCAAGCAAAGTCATCTAAAACATGCAGGATACCTGCCTTCGAGGACCGGGTTTTGAGGCGTAATACAAGTCACTCTCACTTACTGTTGATAGTTATTGTCTTGCTGGAAGATAAATCCATCCAACCTGTTTCAAGTGTTTTGGCCAACAGGTTTTCTGCCAAGATTGCTCTGTATGTATTGTATAGTTTCATTTAGCTGCTTTTCAACTCTGACCAGCTTTCTTGTCATTGCTGAAGAAAATGATGATGCCACCCACCACCATGTTTCACAGTGGGAATGCTGTGTTGAGGGTGAACGGCAGTGTTATCTCTGTCACACATAGCGCTTCACAGTTAGGCCCCTAAAAATTCAACACAGGTCTCATTTGACCAAAGCGCTTCTTTCCATAAGGTGTGTGGTATCTCCTACATGGCTTGTGACAACCTCCCAACGCCTTTCTTTCAACTACGGGCACTGTCCTGTGAACATACTCTCCCACCTGAGCTGTGGATTTCTGCAGCGCCTCCAGAGTGAACATGCCGTCTGTCTCTGATCAGTACTCTCTTCGCTTGCTCTCAGTTTTGGAAACCAGCCATGGCTTGGTAGGTTTGTGGTTGTGCGGTATATTTTCCAGTTTTTGGATGATAGATTAAATGGCGCCTCCTGACATTTTCAAAGCTTGGGCTTTAAAAAAATATAGAGATATAAACTAAACCTGTTTGAAAGCTCTTCATAATTTTATCTTTGACATGTCTGGCGAGGTCGTGTGTCTTTCATGATACTGTTGATCACTGGTGTTTTCTAACAAACCACTAAGGTGTCACAGAACAGGTGTATTTCAACTGAAAGTAAATTACACACAGGTGGAGTCTTGACTTTTTAATTGGGTGACTTCTGACCACAACTGATTGCAGTGGATTGTATTTAGAGGAATCAGAGTATACAAACGCACATCACGCTTTTCAGATTTATATTATCATTTTTGTTTCATTTCACAATTCTGCATATGTTGGATCTGTCATATTAAATCTCCACAAACTTCAGTTAGGTTTGTAAGTCTAAGGTGACAAAATGTGAAAACGTTCAAGGGCAATGACTACTTTCTCACTTTTTGGTACTCTTGAGGGAATGTTTTTAGGAAGTATTAAAATGTAAAAAGAAAAATAACACAAAAACATCCATGTCTTGAATGAAGTATGATGTCATGCAAACATCAATAATTACACAGGTGTAAAAAAAAAAAAAGTCGACCTTTTTGAAAAAGAATCATACAGTGGAAGTGTTCTCATTTCAGCTGTGCCCTCATTTGAAATACAGGTGTTGCAAAAAATAAATAATTAAAAAATTAATTTGAAAAAAAGTGAGATTAGTTGACCCCTCGTGTAACATTACAGTTTTGCACATTTTCAGAGGTGCACCCACTGACTATTTTGGTCCAATTCCAAATTGTGCATTCATAAAGGGCGAGCAAGATTACAAATCATTTTAACCAAATTGGCTCATTCATCTTTTGTCTCTGATGTAGGCATTTTTGCAACATACGCATTGGACTACGACGAGTAGTAATTTCCTGTAAAAACCTGAATTTGGAAAAAAAATAATAATAATTAGGCAGTTGTTAGTGTGATGAAATGTAATCCATCCATTCATTCTACCTTCTCATCCTCACTAGGGTCGGTCGCAGGTGTGCTGGAGCCTATCCATGCTGACTTTGGGCAGAGAGGCAGAAAAATGTAATCACAATCTCTTTTTAAACTGCTTTTCAAATGGGATTCATTTCGTAAAATGAAAAATGTTCAATAAAAGCATTTCCTTTCCTGAAAATCTAACTGTAACTAAGTACTTAAAAAAAATGACAGTTAATTTATGATATAAAATTATAATTATTATATTAGCGAATTAAAAAAAAATCTATTGTGTTATGACATTCTTTAAATGGCCTTTGAATTGATTTATTTTTTGGCATGGAAGAAAGGGATTGTCACTATATTTAAGGAGGTACGTCACTTAAAAAGTTATGGGACCGAGTCATCTTGCTGATGGTGTGTGTACAAGTTTTTGGAAGTTTGGAAAAGACTGATCTAGCTGAAGAGGTGTGCAGAGAGATGGGGGCGCATCAACTCTGCTGGGATGTCAAAGGGCGTATATGGCTTAAAACATTTTCAAAAGACTGATCTAATTTTGATTTCCTCATGTTTGAATGCATGACAAAATCCAGATGTCCAATGGTTTACAGTGATCTGTCTCTCACAAAGTATGAAATGAAAGAACAATAGGTTCATCCGAAGTGAATGAAAAGAGACATTCTTCCATTTTTCTCACATTTTAATGACAATGAATGCATTAAAGTTCCCCGGGTGTACCACACGCATGCTTCCGAAGCCGTGTTTCCTGATGCAATCGGCATGCTAGCGCAGCGTTTTCTCCAGGCCTTTGGTGTGGACCAGCATTTTCAGAAACTGCAGGGTTGAGCAGGTGGACCGCCCGTCCAACATGGTCTCAGCAATGACAACAGCACAGCCTGCATTAAGCGTAAAAATACAACAAACATCTCTTGACAATATTTGCCTGATGCACGGTCCCAAAGTGGCATAATGCTGTCACGTTTTGCTTTTTAAAAGATGGATTTGAACTACATGCTTCAAGAGGCAAACAAGATTTTTAAACGCATCAGATGTAATAAACCCCAGTCCAGTATCAGGCCTATTTAAAATGTGAATTTAAAACAAGATATCTGGACATTCACAGAACATTAAATACGGACTACTTTTGGTTCATTAGAAGAGCAAACACAATTAAATACGGTCTAAAAGGTGGAACATACAATGTCAATATGGCATATCGGAGTTGCACAATTACATTTGATCTAAATGTGTTACCAGATTAGTAATGTCAATATGGCATATCGGAGTTGCACAGACAATTACATTTGATCTAAATGTGTTACCAGATTAGAGGTGCAAGGACCATTTAATACGTTCTGAATGTGGTATATTCGACTGCAGGTCTGAAAATCATTCGAGGCGTGTGGACTGTTAAACGTGGTAAAAATGTGGTCCCTTAGAGGTGCATACAGCCTTACAATTGCATCTTAACATGGTACATTAGAGGCACGTGAACCATAAAATAATTAAATTGCACGGAAAATTACATATGGTCGAAATGTGCTACCGCACATAAGAGGTTTAATTGCTCACACTGGTCAACAAATGTTTTGACCTTTTGAAATCCGTGTCAAAAACACGTTGAGGGATATATGAAGCAATCTGATTAGAATTTGCTGTTGGCCAGTGTAATTAAATATCCTCCAAGTTTGGTACATTAGATGTGTGGAAACAATATTTAATGGTCTAAATAGGGAAGAGAGTTGCGTCGATCATTAAATCCGATACACGTACATTACATTCGAATTTGGAACCTGTGGTGTGAATCCATTTTGGGGTAGTTTGTGGTTGTAGTTAAGTTTGGCGCACCTGTAGGGTGTTGGAGAGTGGTCAGACTTTGATGCAGAGCATTGCATCCAGCAGGTTTTCCGTCTGTTTGATACCGGTGGCAACAAAGTCGTGGCTCTTCAAAAGCAGAGCGTATTCGTCGGCGCTCCTCTGTCTGCCTTCGCTCATGCTGAGGGCCTGGAGCAGCCCGCGACTTGGCCCTGTCCGACCCTCGTCCAAAAAGATCTCACTCAGTAGCAGGCCGCAACCTGCCAGCGTGATGACAGCACGAGTTGACGTGCATTTTTTAACATTAATCCTTACATCCCCAAAGTTGATTATAAGCAATGAAGTCACCAAAATGACAATTCTTGGCTGAAATAGAAAGTAAGGAACCCAACGCCAAAAACCGAAAAAATGGCTGGATCATGGTCTGCACTGTTTTTTTTCCTCCCCCCAAATCCAACACAGGACTCTTTTGCACGTGGACGTACAGAGGATATGTATCCATTGTGCCTGCATTCTGGATGCCTAAACTATACTCATCCAACATATTTGTCATCGCAAGCCAACAAACGTCACAAATTGCTTGAAAAACAATAGCAGTCAAGTGGAGAAAAAAAAATGCTTAACACATGATAAGTATTGCCTACATGACCCCGTCCTGGCTATTTTGTAACATGTTGTAGCCAAAAAAAAATCCAAGTTAATAATTATTTGCTAAAAACAATCATGTTTGTCACTTGAACATGTTGCAGCCAAAAAAAAAGCTCATAATTATTTGCTAAAAACAATCATGTTTGTCACTTTAAACATTAAAATACCTTGTCTTGGTAGTGATTTGCAAATCATTGTATTCTGTTTTTATTTATGTTTAATACAACATCCCAACTTCATTGAAATGGGGTTTTATTTGAGCAGTAATGTTAGCTTGACAAAGTGTGCAAAGTGAAATGTACCTGGTGTGCATGCATCTGAAATTTTGCCGAGCAAGAAGTGCACTTTCTCATCAGACCAGTCATGGAGAATTCTTGAGAGGATGTACAAGTCCGCTTTGGGTAAGGCATCTTTGAAGAAGTCTCCTGTTGGTGTCAAAAGTGCAAAGCATCTTGAGTGTTCAAGACTGTGCTGTTTGATCCAATACATAATAACAATAACAATAATACCTGCGACAAACGTGAGCCTGTCTTGCGTGCAGGGTGGATGGAAACGCGGACTCATTTCAACAACGGCCGGTAAGTCGAACACTGTCACAGACAGCTCCGGGTGAGCTCTGGCGAATTCCAATGCCATTGCACCTGTACAGCCTTGCGAAGAAATATAAGACAATCAGCACATACAGGGCTCTTATGGATAAAATGTTGTGGTGTGAAGTTGCTCCTAGTAGATGAGTGTAAATTTGTACAATTTTAGCAAAAAATAAATAAATAATGTAACTAAGTACTTAAAAAACAGTGACAGTTAATTTATATAAAATTATACTTATTATATTCGCGAATTTTAAAAAAATCTATTGTGTTATGACATTCTTTAAATGGCCTTTGAATTGATTTATTTTTTGGCATGGACGAAAGGGATTGTCACTATATTTAAAGAGGTACGTCACTTAAGTTATGGGACCGAGTCATCTTGCTGATGGTGTGTGTGCGAGTTTTTGGAAGTTTGGAAAAGACTGATCGAGCTGAAGTGGTGTGCAGAGATGGGGGCGCATCAACTCTGTTGGGATGTCAAAGGGCATATATAGCTTAAAACATTTTCAAAAGACTGATCTAATTTTGATTTCCTCATGTTTGAATGCATGACAAAATCCAGATGTCCAATGGTTTACAGTGATCTGTCTCTCACAAAGTATGAAATGAAAGAACAATAGGTTCATCCGAAGTGAATGAAAAGAGACATTCTTCCATTTTTCTCACATTTTAATGACAATGAATGCATTAAAGTTCCCCGGGTGTACCACACGCATGCTTCCGAAGCCGTGTTTCCTGATGCAATCGGCATGCTAGCGCAGCGTTTTCTCCAGGCCTTTGGTGTGGACCAGCATTTTCAGAAACTGCAGGGTTGAGCAGGTGGACCGCCCGTCCAACATGGTCTCAGCAATGACAACAGCACAGCCTGCATTAAGTGTAAAAATACAACAAACATCTCTTGACAATATTTGCCTGATGCACGGTCCCAAAGTGGCATAATGCTGTCACGTTTTGCTTTCTAAAAGATGGATTTGAACTACATGCTTCAAGAGGCAAACAAGATTTTTAAACGCATCAGATGTAATAAACCCCAGTCCAGTATCAGGCCTATTTAAAATGTGAATTTAAAACAAGATATCTGGACATTCACAGAACATTAAATACGGACTACTTTTGGTTCATTAGAAGAGCAAACACAATTAAATACGGTCTAAAAGGTGGAACATACAATGTCAATATGGCATATCGGAGTTGCACAATTACATTTGATCTAAATGTGTTACCAGATTAGAGGTGCAAGGACCATTTAATACGTTCTGAATGTGGTATATTCGACTGCAGGTCTGAAAATCATTCGAGGCGTGTGGACTGTTAAACGTGGTAAAAATGTGGTCCCTTAGAGGTGCATACAGCCTTACAATTGCATCTTAACATGGTACATTAGAGGCACGTGAACCATAAAATAATTAAATTGCACGGAAAATTACATATGGTCGAAATGTGCTACCGCACATAAGAGGTTTAATTGCTCACACTGGTCAACAAATGTTTTGACCTTTTGAAATCCGTGTCAAAAACACGTTGAGGGATATATGAAGCAATCTGATTAGAATTTGCTGTTGGCCAGTGTAATTAAATATCCTCCAAGTTTGGTACATTAGATGTGTGGAAACAATATTTAATGGTCTAAATAGGGAAGAGAGTTGCGTCGATCATTAAATCCGATACACGTACATTACATTCGAATTTGGAACCTGTGGTGTGAATCCATTTTGGGGTAGTTTGTGGTTGTAGTTAAGTTTGGCGCACCTGTAGGGTGTTGGAGAGTGGTCAGACTTTGATGCAGAGCATTGCATCCAGCAGGTTTTCCGTCTGTTTGATACCGGTGGCAACAAAGTCGTGGCTCTTCAAAAGCAGAGCGTATTCGTCGGCGCTCCTCTGTCTGCCATCGCTCATGCTGAGGGCCTGGAGCAGCCCGCGACTTGGCCCTGTCCGACCCTCGTCCAAAAAGATCTCACTCAGTAGCAGGCCGCAACCTGCCAGCGTGATGACAGCACGAGTTGACGTGCATTTTTTAACATTAATCCTTACATCCCCAAAGTTGATTATAAGCAATGAAATCACCAAAATGACAATTCTTGGCTGAAATAGAAAGTAAGGAACCCAACGCCAAAAACCGAAAAAATGGCTGGATCATGGTCTGCACTGTTTTTTTTTCTCCCCCCAAATCCAACACAGGACTCTTTTGCACGTGGACGTACAGAGGATATGTATCCATTGTGCCTGCATTCTGGATGCCTAAACTATACTCATCCAACATATTTGTCATCGCAAGCCAACAAACGTCACAAATTGCTTGAAAAACAATAGCAGTCAAGTGGAGAAAAAAAAATGCTTAACACATGATAAGTATTGCCTACATGACCCCGTCCTGGCTATTTTGGAACATGTTGCAGCCAAAAAAAAAGCTCATAATTATTTGCTAAAAACAATCATGTTTGTCACTTTAAACATTAAAATACCTTGTCTTGGTAGTGATTTGCAAATCATTGTATTCTGTTTTTATTTATGTTTAATACAACATCCCAACTTCATTGAAATGGGGTTTTATTTGAGCAGTAATGTTAGCTTGACAAAGTGTGCAAAGTGAAATGTACCTGGTGTGCATGCATCTGAAATTTTGCCGAGCAAGAAGTGCACTTTCTCATCAGACCAGTCATGGAGAATTCTTGAGAGGATGTACAAGTCCGCTTTGGGTAAGGCATCTTTGAAGAAGTCTCCTGTTGGTGTCAAAAGTGCAAAGCATCTTGAGTGTTCAAGACTGTGCTGTTTGATCCAATACATAATAACAATAACAATAATACCTGCGACAAACGTGAGCCTGTCTTGCGTGCAGGGTGGATGGAAACGCGGACTCATTTCAACAACGGCCGGTAAGTCGAACACTGTCACAGACAGCTCCGGGTGAGCTCTGGCGAATTCCAATGCCATTGCACCTGTACAGCCTTGCGAAGAAATATAAGACAATCAGCACATACACAGGGCTCTTATTGGTAAAATGTTGTGGTGTGAAGTTGCTCCTAGTAGATGAGTGTAAATTTGTACAATTTTAGCAAAAAAAAAAAAAAAAAGTTCATACCTTGAATTTAAAAACAAACAAACAAACAATTACCGTGTATATATAAAGTTGTACAGCCATAGAGAAAAACTTACGAGGCCGTCATGTTTTGTTCAGTTTCCTCAAGTGACTGTCTCACACAAAAGAAAACATGGAATGTCTAAAAGCCCAATTTTTGGCAGGACAATGTCATAGCGATTGATGCAAGAACTTGTGAAGTGACTTTGGTTGTTTCCAAGAAAACAATCAGCTCTTAAATTCAACTCTTATGAGCTGTTTTTGTTGACACCAATATATTGGTCCAAACAAATATACTTCTAGTTTTATTCGGCATTTAAAATGGACATTCAACTGACTAGACAAAAGGTGGTCTCGATTTTTCCATGGCTGCATATACTTTTGATATCTAATTTTATTATGTTTATTCTACCTACAGGTATATCTTCTTTTTATATTTATTGTCATTTTACAATCATGTATATTAATTTCATTTACTCATTTCTAGTAGTTAACTTGTCTGAATTACATTTTTAAATTTTTTTTCTTATCTCAGATATATATCCAAAAGTTACTTTTTTCAAATAGTTTTTATATTAAATTTTTAAAAATCAACATATTTTAACCGTTGTAATGCAAGGTTCTTAGCAGTTTATTAAAACAACAGTAAAGAGTCTTTGCTCATCTCAAGACAAAAGAAAAAGAGATCAGAAAGTGGATTGTCGAGTTTTTTTTAACAATTAAGAAAAAAAACTGAGGACCGCCAATCGCAGCCGTCAAAATATTCTTTTCATCTAGTAACATTGTCAACTTTTGTCTCCATTTTAGGATAAGAAGCTGTACACGTTCTCACCTCCGAGATCACAGGCACTCTTGAAGGCAGACAAGTCAAAGGCTGTTGCCACTGCTTTCCCAGACACTCGAGCGAAACTGTGCATGGCCTTCATGAACCTCAGCTTTACCTCCTGGCTCCTGTTGACTGTGTCCTTAGTGAGCAATTCAGCATTAGACGTGCACAATGAAGGAATTTTAGTACTTCATTGGACTATTTACCTGGGATAAGTTGCCAGACTTGTTGCAGAAGGTCCTGTGGTGCTGGTGGACGCCCTCCTGCACAGCGCTCTCCAGGTGGCTGAAGAGCGGCCACACGGTATCGTTGCAGTGCTCCAAGTAGCCCAGCAGGGAGGATGGCGCCTCGGACAGAAGGAAGCGTTTGGACAGTTCTGTGTTCTCGTACGCCGGAGTCTTACAGTCTGGAAGAAAAAAAAAAAAAAACAATATGAGAGAGGTGAGCTTGTTGTATCAATATTGCATAGATTGCTGTAGCTGTCCTTCTAGTATCGCTTATTCCTTGCGAGTATGACGTGAAGGTGAGAATAGCAGATACACTGAATGCATTATACAGTAGGTCGTTTCATTAACATCTACTGTCAACAGTTTCACAAAACATGAAATGCCTCAAGACCACAAACATTCAATTGTTTGCATTTAATACATTTCCATGACACAGGTGATAAAGAAGAGAAAATGGTTGACTAACTTGAGCTCTTTAACAGTTTTAGCGAAAGGCATGCCTCCAGCAGATGCTCCGTTCCCTTGAGGGACGTTTTCAGCTCGAGGGCCACCTGTGCTGCATTCAACGCCGGTCTGCGCTGGAGCAAGTCAAATAGGCCCAACTTGGAAGCGGTAAACAATGCCTGGAAGAGTTATTTTGGGATTTAAAAAAAAAAATAAAAAATTTAAGAGCTGTTTTCCATTCAATCTTACAACCAAAAGATTGGATGGAGAGAATTTTGTTTGACAATTAGAGACGTTATGTACTTATTTTATCATTCTATTTCTTATTCAATTCTGCAAACAGTATAAGCTACTGCTCCTAGTATGGGCAGCTGTTGGCCAGCTGCTCCTGGCCAACCGGAGACGCTATCATATACTGTAGTCACAAAGGATAAAGACTGTATGCCTGCGAGCATTGTCATATTGTCTCCTGCCAAGTGTTGCTCCAATGTTTTTATTCAAATATGTTTCTTA